GTAGAGGTCCCCAGACTTTACCAGACAGACTGCTGGTTCCCAGATTTTACCAGACAGGATGGAAACACACAACACAGCTGGAGGGCACTGGGTTGGTGTACACTCTTGCCTCTGTATCCTAGAGACTACAACATCCCTGCCAGGTATGGATGAGGATCCTGAGTAGTTACCTCTCCTTCCTCACTGGAACGCCTTGATTCCTTAAATTCCTGCCGGATCCTGAAATCCAAAGTTTGCAAGAGAAATATGAACACATGTGTTAGGAATATAATCTAACGGTTGGGTTGGCAATATATAAATCATGTAACAATGCTATACCTGTTTCATACTGTAAAATGTGATTGGTTACTGTTTCCTCCATCGGCCATAAGAGGGAGCCAGAATGACTGTTATCTCTCTGTCGTTAGATGCTGGGCTGACCTGATCTGAGTGTCGTGAGCTATTGTAAGTTTTGCAACTGTTAGCAAACTTTGAGTACTGAACTGATTATATGATACTGGACTCTGTTATTTGGATTATCCCTTAACCGAGAGACATTGATGACTAACTGTCTTATCCGTGTATGACTTGGACTGTTTGATGGACTCTGATACCTCTATTTCCACGAAAATAAAAGCCTATTTAAACTGCAGTGTCTCTGTATGCTGGTTTCTGTGTTCTCCAACACTATTCTCACAACGCTTCGCTGAACTTACTTGCTCTCCCAACAGGGAGCTTACCTAACAACATGTTTTGTTTTTTAAATCCATAGATGTTTAATATCCTAGAACTGAATCTTAAATCACATAACCAATTCAGGGCCCTCATATGCATGCATTAATTTCTAATGAAGACATACTCAATAGTTAAAAAAAAAGAATGAAAAGGCAGCCAAAATAAAATTTGAAAAGCACACAATAGTCTATTCAAGTGTTTTCCAAACTTGACAACTCTAAGATATGTGGACTTTAATTCCCAGAATTTTCAGAGTTGAAGTCTACACATCTTAAAAGTGCCAAGGATGAAAAGTTTGGCAAAGCTCTGGTCTGTATTTATTTTTACCACAAAAATCTCCCCAGCAATGACAATTGTACTTTCTCCCATCTCAACATATTTTAATTCCATATCTTAACATAATTATTTTGAAATAACATACAATACCCAGATATTTTACTTTCTTCTCAATCTTAAAACCTGTTTTAGCCATCAGTTCTAAAATAAAAGGGAATGTCCTTTCTAGAATGACGTTCTAGACCCCTGATGGTGAACCTATGGCATGCGTGCCACCTGTGGCACACAGTGTCTTCTCTGCAGGCACGCCAGCCGTCGCCCCAGCCCAGCTCCACCACACATGTGCCGCATCTCCCCCCAGCCAACTGGTCTCCAGGTCTCTGCCGCACATGCACGGGGCGCATTTGGGGGTCGTACATGTGCGGGGGTGGGGCACATGCATGGGTGGTGGTGGTGCTCACATTGCATTTTGGGAGTGCACTTACTTTGGGCACTTGGCACCAAAAAGATTCGCCATCACTGTTCTAGACAATATCTATTTTGACAACCAATGCACCATTTAAACAGTGATAAAAAAATATGCTAGTCCTAATGTGCATGTAGCTCTAAGCCCCAAGTGCACCAGGCAAACAGCTGGTTCTAGTGTATTCCTTTGATGTGTATTCATCAGTGTGTGAGTGCTTACTCTCCTATAATCCCTTCCTCTCCAATCCCTCTGGTCTGCAATTGGGGATGGAGGAAGAAGAAAATTGATCAGAGGACAGAATAACAAGTAACAAGACTTTAGTGGTACTCAAATAACTGAGCAATGCTGTGAAGATCATAAATGTGTGCCTTGGTTATAAAATTATGTTTTCAGCACCCTCGTAATTTTGACCAGCTGCGTGAGGCAGCCAGTAAGGGAGGTCTAGCTATACTTCGTTTTACCAAATCCATTTTTCCTTTGTAGACAAAGAGGTGGAATAAATATGGGAGAGTGGCCAAAATTTACCGAAGAATTTCCAACTCAGCTTCTTTCAGCTGCATTTGGCTGCTACGCAGTTCAATCAATGATCTCTCATTCTCCATCCGTAAAGATTCGCGCTCTTCGCTGAGCTCCTCCACACGGTTAATAAGGTGGCGGCGGGCTGTATCCAGAGCGATTCTGGAGGTGGGATGGCCAAGGACATAAACATTTTAAAGCCAGCTTCAAAATCCAGAATGACATGACTCTAAAGCCAACTAAAACATAAATAGTTTTACGGATAGTGGGTTCGAGTCTATGTTTAACAAGGTTTCTGGCTTTATTAATTTGAGATGGCAAACTTGGTCTTACCGTGCTTCTTGAAGCTGAGCGTTTTCTGCTATCAAGGTTTCTAAGGCATCCCCTACAAAAACAGTAGGCATGGACATCAATTGACATCAGTTGATATGCATGCAAATCAGAATGTCCCACTGCAAGAAAGCTACAGGGGTTTTTTGGGAATGACAATCAAGCTAGGAATCCTGAATTCTAAATCCCAGTGGGAGGGAAATGCAGAAAGAAACATTATATTTACCCTGCAAATCAGCACCATCATCCATATCAGTGAGGAGGTCTGGGCTGAGGCCTGAAACTTCAGCGAAAAGGGAGACCATGTTGCGCTCGAGGGTGGTATTCAAGGGGCTGAGAGACAGACAGACAGACAAATAGACAAGAGTCCCCACCCACCTCCATCCTGCCAATAAGACACAGCCACGTTTGACACTACACTAAATAGAAATCAGTGAAGGGGCAAGGGATGATGTTTATGTTAAGGGAAGGTCCCTGGAGAAGAACTTGGACTCAGTTGCCATCAGTTCTCTGTCTATCCCATGCATGAGGTAGGGATAACCTTGAGGAACAGAAGGAAGAGCCACAATCAAAGCAAAGATCAGATAAAAATGGAATCTAGAAGCAAAACTATAACCTGAGAAAGCATCTCAGGTTAAAAAAAAAAACCCTCCTTAGTTCTCACAAAAATAAAAAGAGGTGATGGGGAAAAGCACATTGAGACTTGCAAGGATGTTATCAATCCTCCAAAGATGATCAAATTTGGAAACCAAAGATACACAAGTTAATACCGCTTTTAATAAGGTTACAGTAACAGAGCCCTGCAAGTCTCAAACATGGGAGGGTCATGTCTGAGACGCTTTCTTAAATTATATTTCTGTCCCAGTCTCAAATTTCTTTTATCTGGCCATCATTTTGATGTAAAAATTCCTCCTGCTCCTCAACGTTGTACCTTTTTCCCATTACATCAGTGTTTCTCAACCTTGGTGACTTTAAGTCCTGTGGACTTCAACTCCCAGAATTCCCCAGCCAGCTGGCTGGGGGATTCTGGAAGTTGAAGTCCACAGGACTTAAAGTCACCAAGGTTGAGAAACACTGCATTACATTCAAGACTGCAATGGTTTCAAAACAGCAGCTGCAGAAGACATGTGTGAAAGGAGAAAAGCTACCTTTCTGGCCATCAAACTCAATGGTACATGATCCTCCAAAACAGAAATCGGGATGCCTAGAAGAGCTAACTGTCCATTGAACAATAGCATCAGAAGGATGAAGTGATCGGAAAGGGAAGATAATTGATGATGAGATTAAGATCATGCTGAGATAAAGATGGCAGGAAAGAAAGACCTAGGTCCGAGTTGGCGAACATATGACACGCGTGCCATAGATAGCACACGGAGCCATTTGTCAGGGCAAGCGAGGCATTGCCCCAGCAGCTGGTCAGCATGCATGCGCGCACTGGTCAGCTGACTTCAGCCTCTTTTTGAGGCCATTTTTCACCCTCCCCAGGCTCCAGAGGCTTTATAGGAGCCTGGGGAGGGCGAAAACAGCCTCAGCTCCCCCCTGGAGGCCCTCTGGAGGTTCCCTGAAGCCTCCAGAATGCAAAAAAAATGGCCTTATGGGCAAACCAGAAGTTCAGGAATGGACTTCCGGTTTGCTCGTAGGGCAGGTTTAAACCCTCCAGAGCCTTCAGGGACCTTCAGGAGGCTTCCCTGAAAGTTGTGGAGGACAAAACACGGCCATACAGACAAACTCTGAAGGTCCCTCAAGGCTCCAGATGGCTAAAACTGCCCCTACGAGCAGATTCTGTTCCTGAACTTCCGGTTTTCCCATAGGGCCAGTTTTTTGTGCTCCGGAGGCTTCAGGGAAGCTCCTGAAGCCTCCGAAGAGCGTCCAGGGTTGGGGGAAGGTTGTTTTCGCTCTCCCAAGGCTTCTATAAAGTCTCTGGAGAGAGCGAAAAAAGCATGCAAAAAATGAGGGGAAGCACTGGTCATGCACGCATGCATGCTGGGGATCACACATTGCATTATTGGTGCGGCATGCTCGCGTGCAACCATCCTGCACTCCCCCCTTTGGCACGTGAGCCAAAAAAGGTTCGCCATCACTGATCTAGGTGGTTTTTTTTTTAAATTCCACTGGAGAAGTATCCCTAGTCTGGTGTATATTAATTATAGTGGTCCAATTTGTGCTTTCGACTTATAAGTGTAATTAATGAATACATTTTCCTTACCTGTTTTGCATTTGGGGGTCAGATTTGAGTTCTGGAGTAGAGCTTAAAAGTTCATCCAAATCAAAGCCAGGTTGACTAGGAGAAGCTGATGAGAAAAGAAAGGGAAAATCACAAATATATTATTATTCTTGATTCTTAAAATCTCCCTTGCCCCGATTTTTAGGACAGAGTCCAAATCTTGGCAACCTTAAGATGTGTGGACTTCAACTCCCAGAATTCCCCACCAAGAATGAATTCCTAGATTTACTTTTAAGTAAGGATCTGTACAGGTAATCCTCAAACCTATAATCTTTCGTTTAGTGACTTATGAGCGTTTTCACATTTATGACTATTGAAGCATCCCCATGGTCACATGATTAAAATTCAGATGCTTGGTAACTGGTGCACATTTATGACAGTTGCAGTATCTTGGGATCAGGTGACCTTCTGACAAGCAAAGTCAATGGGAAAGCCAGATTCACTTTACAACTGTGCTACTAACTTAACAACTGCAGTGATTCACTTAACAAGTGTGGCAAGAAAGGTCGTAAAATAGGGCAAAACAGACTTAACAACTGTCTCGCTTAGCTACGGATATTTTGGGCTCAACTATTATGGTAAGTTGACGACTACCTGTAAAAATATTCCATCCAACCCTCTTGCTTTCATTTGTATGAGCCTTTAGCCAGAGAGAGAGAGAGAGAGAGAGAGAGAGAGAGAGAGAGAGAGAGAGAGATTTGGTAGGCATCCCACAATGGCTTCTAACCTAAACTTACACAGCCCATTCTATCACTTCAGAACTCTATTATCCACACTGCAAGCAATTCAAATCTGGCATGTGTGACTTCCAATAGCAATAGCACTGAGACTTATATATCGCTTCACATTGCTTTACGGCCCTCTCTAAGCGGTTTAGAGTCAGCATATTGCCCCCAACAATCTGGATCTTCATTTTATCGACCTCAGAAGGATGGAAGGCTGAGTCAACCTTGAGCTGCTCAGAACTGAACTCCTGGAGTGAGCAATGAGATAGCCTGCAGTACTGCACCACCACAGCTCTTCGTTAAAGTCAGTGGAGCATAGAGAAAGTCGTAACTTCAGTATTTGGCTGTTGTTGGAGCACAGGTGGAGAAGGACCTCTCTCAAGGCCCACTGAGAGATACCGTCAAGCAAGTAAGAGCACAGTGTTATAGACTGGGGATCAGCAACTTAAACTCAAAGAGGCACATCTAGCTTGTGACTATTATCCGCAGCCTTTGGCAATCAGTTAGTTCAGAAAATTTACCTGCCCCTTCCTTGCAGTTTGCTATTTGAGGGAAGGAGAAAAGAGAATACCAGAAAGAGAAAGCAGTGGGGGGAGGGAGGGAGAGAGGAAGAAGAGGGTCAGAAAAAGAAAAAAAGTGATATTGGTATTTATTTATTCATTCATTATCTTGCCTTTTATTGTTTTTATAAATAACTCAGGGCGCTGAACATACCTAATTTTTCTTTCTCCTCCTATCCCCCCCCCCCCCCAAAAAAAACCAGCAAGATGCATTGGACTGAGAGAGAGAGACTGGTCCAGCCAGCTTTCATTTTAAAGTAGGACTAGAACTCACCGTCTCCTGGTTTCTAGCCTGGTGCCTAGATCAAATTGGCTCTTGGTGTTAAGGCTGACACAGAGTTTCAGACCTTGTTATTGTCTGAGCCTCCAGCACACGATTCCTGAGCTAAAGTAATACCATCAGGAAAAAAATGTTGGCCCCAGTATCCCTAGAAGGTTCCACCACAAAACCGCGTTCGACTAAAGCGCGCTCGACGAAACGGCGTAGCTGACNGCTGCGCCACCTCGGCTCTATTATAAGCCAAAGACTACTTGTACTCCAAAGGAAAAATACCTAACTTGCTGGGACTCCAGAAAAGCTGTGAGCAAACAGGGCAAACAAAATTGAGCAGAGCAGGTAAAAAAACATCCAAACACACTTGTATTGTATTTCCCAAGAATTCCTGGTAGGAAAAATTAAGAATTTGGGTTTCTAGTCTTATAAACTTACTCAGAGGGTGAGATTGCTCGTGGCATGAATCTCAATGTGTTTCGTCCTGAATCTCTATGGTTGTTACGGCTAAGCCGGGATTTCCCTGGTGGTAGAGGAGAGGCCACAGCGCTCTCAGGAGCATCTGATGGGTTGAACAGGCGATCAAAACTGCCAGGATGGAGGGAAACCAATATGATTAGAGGAAAGAGAAGGGCAAGGGGTCCATCCTAAAAAAAGAAGCAAAAAAAATATGAAAGCTGGTCGTAATAGTTTCCTGCACGAAGAGCAGGAGACCTCAGTGACCTGAACGAACGAACAAACAGAAGCACAGAAACCATTTCCATGCAAAGTTTAGTTCCCCTTTCTATTCCTAGCATGATAGCAGCTGGGGCTGCCCAGCTAGAAATCTTTATCTGCAGCTTCTGAAATATTACTTGTCCTCCCACGTAATTTGAGTCAATGCTTGCACCCAGAAGACCGAGAAATTGTCTTTGCTTTAAAAGAAAAAGAAAAGATGAAACGCAGGCAGCTAAGCCGTGTTACCCAGTGCTGGACACTCGAAAACAGCTAGATTTCACTACAGCAGTAGAACCTACATTTTCCAAAATGACGATTTCTTCATTTGAATCGCTTGTTCCTCCCGGGAAGCCCTAAGAAAAAAACAAATAATTATTGAGGGGCGTCTGCCTCTGTGTATTGACGGTATTCATTCTCTCCCTCTGAAGAACCACTAGAAAAAAGGGAGAAAGTAACCATTTCATGCTCAGCCTAATTCTATTCTAATTGCTGCTTAAAACATAGAATGGCAGTTAGGCGTGATACTAATTGCAGACTAGAGCAGGGGTCTCCAACCTTGGCAACTTTAAGGCTTGTGGACTTCAACTCCCAGAATTCTCGGAGTCGAAGTCCACAAGTCTTAAAGTTGCCAAGGTTGGAGACCCCTGGACTAAAGATATGATGATTCGGAAAAGTGCCTGGGAAAACCTGGTAGAACAGCCTCCCTCCTTCCTCTCGTGCCTTGATTAGTGACTTTAAAAAATACATCTGGAAAAATCTCTCCTGTTAGAATAACTTGCCATTTATTTATATTCATTTATTTAGATCACAGCCGTCCATCTTTTGACCAACTCTGAGTGATGGAAGACCATTCTCTATTTCAGTTTGCAGTACAGATGGTCTTATGTCAGACCTCCCCAAAAGATGATTATGACCCAATTCTGAAGTCCCAATGCCCTCCCTCCTGTTGCCTCATGACTAAATTTGGGGCACTTGGCAACCATCCTGCATTTATGGCCGTTTGTAGCATCTCACGGTCATGCAACTGATTTACGATGTTTTTGCCCAAAACTGGTCTTTATTTCCTGCTTCAGCAAAAATGTTAGTTTGCTTAATGATTGCGGCATTTGCTTTATATCTGCTGCATTCTCTTAACGACCGCTACAAAAAAAGGTTATAATCCAGTCACATGCTAATCTGCTTTATGACTGTCATGACAGAAGACCATAATGGGCAAGTTCCATTATGGTTGTAAATCAAGGACTACCTGTATATAGAAATTGTAGTGCTCAAACATGAGAAAGAATAGAGAAGCTTGTATGAATCTGAACAAATTTTACTTGCCAAAATCAGAAATCTATTAGAAAGATAAAAATGAAATTTCAGATTCAGCAAGAACAAAAATTGTATTAGTTCAAAAATGAAACTGAAGATTCAATGTCTACAGACAAAATTTCTATGCAATGATTGTTACTGTTTTTTCCCATGTTTTCCTCAGCTCTTTTAAGCTGTGAACAAACAGAAGCGTTTAAGGCCAAATATATAATTTTGTCATCTGTCTTCAGCTTTACTTTCAGCCAACTTGCCAAACTGACAAAAAATAATTAATTAATTTGCTGCAGATGTAATCAGGTGAAAAATAAAGCTTTTAAAGTAAATTGGGTTAGCAGATGTAATGACTACCTACATTACACTTTTACGTTTCATAAATGTCCTCCAAATTTTACAACTAAAGTGTACTCTTAAAACAAAACTTAATACAACTTCTGTCCTTTAGGCAGCAAAGTGAACTCAGATTGGGAAAGTGGGCTATAAAAATAAAATTGAAACGTATTTCAATTTTAAAGAAAGAAAAGCATGGAAGGAAAAAGTTCCAGTTACTGTTGATTAATTAGTAACAGGACTTGGAGAAAGAACACTCAATGTGACCAGGGAAGTTGCTAAGATTGGAATATAAGCATCACCAATTTGTAATTCCCAAAGTAACTCATTTCCTTAGCTGTAGCAGCTTAATCAGCCATGGAAAAGTGACTTCCTCTTGTCCTCTTCTCCCATCTTGGTTCCTGGGGTGCTGTTCAATGGTGGGATTCAAAAATTTTTACTACCAGTTCTGTGGGTGTGGTGTGACTTGGTGGGCATGGCAGGGGAAGGATACTGTAAAATCCCCATTTCCTCCCAATCAGAGGGGTCTCGGGAGGCAGAGAATAGATGGGGGCNTTGAATCGGCTTGCTTTCAAAGCGCTATTTAAAGCGCCCTTCTTTCTCCGCGCTCACTGTTGTTGCCCTGTTGATGACATCAGTGACGCGGTTTAATCGGGCGTGGCTTAGTCGAGCACGGTTTTGTCATGCCACGTCCCTAGAAATCCACAAATCCATGATGTAGGATTAAAAGCATTTAGGCAAGAAACTAGAAAACCATGAATTTTTAGTCCTGCCTTAGGGACAAATCCCAGCGAGTGACTTTGGGCTAGTTACTTTCTCTCAACCTTAGGAAGAAGAAAGTAGTGAACAAGCGCTCATGAAAAAATATTGCCAAGAAAGCCACAGGGACCTGTCTTAATCTACTCTAGTTTGGGATTAAAACTGATCCTACCAAAGAGAGAAAGAGAAAATCTCCTTCATACCATCCTTTCCTGGCTGAATGTCCATTTCCTGTGCCAAGGGAAACACATTTCTTTCTGCAACCTTCTGGGGCGTTTTCTCTGAATGAGAAAGTTCGTTCATTTCTCCATGTTCCTAAAAAGATCCAGCAGATTGAGAGCAAAAACAGAATTTGTTTTATGGCTTCCCTTAATACCCTTGCTTCTCACTGGTCTTCTCAGCCATCACTGTGGCCATCATAGTTTAACCCCTCACCGGAATCCACCTACCATTGAGGACTTAGGAGGCTTCAAGTCTGAGGGACTTGATAGAAACTGTGGAGGTACACGAACTGGTGGAGGCTTCGGCCTGTGCATTGGGGGAGAAAGAAGAAAAAGATCTTGATTTTCTCATGTCTGTCTTGGTCTGTTTAAATGTCTTGGAAAGTTTCGATCAGTCAGTGCAATTTCTTATACTTTTCACTCTACTTAAAAGCAGTAGGGTTTTTTTTAATGACCCTTTACTTGGGGTGGAGTTGTGGGCGACTGAATAGAGCTGAGCATTTACTGGCTGGATGCTTTTCCTGACCTCTAGGCAGCAGATATTTTCTCTCTGCACGCTCGAAAGCAGGTAGTTAAACTACTCTAATTATATGCAATTAAAATAGGCACACATTATTCCTTGCCTCCTCCCCCCCAAAAAAACCATTTTTAAAGGGGCACTAATATATGTCCGTGAAGAGTCTCAATTACCCAGGTCATGGTTGTCCCAAAGTTGCTCTTTCAAGAGGCAACTGGATTTTCTTTTTTTTCTTTGAAGACATTTTGCTTCTCATTCAAGAAGCTTCTTCAGCTCTGACCTGCTTGTGGGGAATGGAAGGATTTGAATTCTTTGCAGTCATCTGCAAAGTGCTAACGACCAAGATGCCTGCAAAAATATAAATCCATCCATTCCCCAACAGTCAGTTAGAATTGAAGAAGCTTCTTGGAAGAGACGCAAAATGTTTTCTAAGGAAAAAAAGAAAGTCCAGTTGCCTTTTGGAAAAAACACCTTTGGGGTACCAATATAATACACTGAATAAAAACAGAAGGATGAATAGTTTATTGCTGTTGTTAATGGCCTGGGAGACTTATTTGTTATCCTTTTAAAAGGCAAGAGAAGGCAAACTAGCCAGATTTGAATGAAATACAGTAAACCTGTCACCAAATAGGGCTTTCTCTGCAGTGCTCTGCATGATTTCTGAAGGTAGTTAAAGGACTCAGTGGCAATCTATCTCTACCCAGTCTTTTGGGAACAACTAATTGTCATAGCTGTGGAGGAGGTAAATGTCAGTGCGCACACACACACGCACACACAGCTAACTAATCTTGAATATGTGCAAACTGTTGCCTATGTGCTACAGGCCACAGTTCAAAGCTGCCTTTATTTCAATATGCTAATGCGGGACAACCACAGAGATCTTTCCTTCCATTGCAACAGTGGTGGATTGGCTCCTGTGGTATGAGGATAACTGGGACACCCTTCAACTCCCCATCTTCTCAGAATTAGCAATAGCAATAGCAGTTAGACTTCATAGGGCTTTCAACCCTCTCTAAGCGGTTTACAGAGTCAGCATATTGCCCCCAACAATCCGGGTCCTCATTTTACCCACCTCGGAAGGATGGAAGGCTGAGTCAACCTTGAGCCGGTGAGATTTGAACAGCCGAACTGCTGAACTGCAGTCAGCTGAAGTAGTCTGTAGTGCTGCATTTAACCACTGTGCCACCTCGGCTCTTCACCCAGTCATTGTGGAATTTCAAATTATTGGTTTATATTTTAATTCATTACAGGTAGTTCTCAACTTACAACCATAACAAAGCCTACCGATTTCGGTCATAAGCCGTGATGGTCATCATGTGACGGACCCGATTTTATGAACATTGTTCACTTAGGGGGATATTTTTGCTGGAAACCAAAAGAAGAGTTCTGGCAAAAGCATTGTAAAAGCCATGTGACCATGTGATGCTGCAAACAGCCGTAAATGCGGGCCAGTTGCCGAGCACCAAAATGTGCTGAGGGAAGATGAGGTGGACTGCAGTAATAGGAACTCTGGAATTGGGTTGTAAATATCTTGGGGAGGGTGTCTGTCACAATTTTGAATGGTTGCTAAGTGAATGGTTGTAAGTTGAGGAGTAGGAAATCATTACTCAGTAACACACGATGAAGTCACACTTGTTGAAATGAGCCAGGATCATGGACCAAAATTTTCTTCTTTGACAATAAGAGAGACTCTACTCTTATCTAGAAGAGATTCTCTAGAAGATCCCAAATTTTCCCTTTCAGCAAAGGGTGGGGGGGATCTAAAGCAAAAGGAAGTGGCTTTGGAGAAGGAGGGTGGGCATAGACACTGTCCTTGTTGATATCTTCTTAAGGAAATGGTATCTTTTCCTGAGCTGCACTTATCTTAGGAAAACACATGTTTGAATTAAGTGCAACAAGCTTTTTTGAAATGAGCCCTATCAGTGCTTTCAGACCTCAAAAAAAATTTTCCCCGGGAGTGCACAGCCACAATTCAACAAAAGATGCCATAGCCTCTTAAAGGGTACTGACCTTACCTCACAACTTCTCCAGGCATCTTTTCTGCTTTGGTCCTAAAATCCTGCATGCGCACACGCAGGCACACACACACACACACACTTCTCCCTCCCTCATTCCAAACCTTTTATCTTCTGTGGATGAAGTATTAGTTTGTCCTGGACCAGCTGATGCTGCTTTTTGTGATTTCAGTTCTTTGTAACTTTGTACCATCTG